TTATTGTCAGTTATATATAAGGAAGTGAAAAAAGTACTAAAACTAATACTTACTTGGTACAGTGGAATTTAAACATGAGAAACATTGAGAACTAAAGTGTTTTATTCTTTCTAAAAACTCATCGGGAGTAGTTGGGACAGTGCTTGCCGCCTCCATGTTGTAGAACTTGACGCGGAGCCCCAGTCCTTCCTGCCTGGTGAACTGCCCTACTCCTTTCTACGTTTCAGTCTGCCTCTGACATCCTGTCCTGTGTCTGTTCAGTGCTGGCAGATTATCCTCAAGAGTTTGTTTAATGTGAAATTTTTTGCCAGCATCACTTCTAGGGACAACTTCATCCTTTTCATCAAAACCCTGTGCCATAACTAATGCATGCAATACAGGTGCACGTTTTAAAGCAGAATCTTTTACCTGTGCCACACCCGATAGCTTACCATTAATTCATTAAGTTACAGTTCATTAATTACTTAACTTTGAAACAAACCAGCCTTTATTGGCCAGAAAAGGACTTGTTGTTTACTTTAGGTTTTTTTGGGTTTTTTCCATTCCTCTTGTTATTAGCCTTTTTCTTTCAGTGTGGCAGCTAACTTTACCACTTTGGCCTGAATAGGATTGATTGAATAGTTCTCAGTCCAAAGTAGAAGTCAGTACTACATGTTCCCACAGTGGCTTTCTGTTCTTAGTGCAGTTTAAACTAAAAGATGATAAGCGACTTTACCGTCTTTGTTTGTATTCATTGAAGTCTGTGTGGTCCATACCGTATCTTCATAAATGCCTAGGACTCGTCCTGTCTTCTCTTTGCTGTTGCCAGTTTCAAATCTCTTTTTCTTTTTTAACATTATTTATTTATTTTGAAAGAGACAGAGGCAGCATGAGCAAGGGAGAGGCAGAGAGTGAGGGAGAGAGAGGGAGAGAATTCCAAGCAGGCTTTGCACCACCAGCGCAGAGCCCAGTGCGGGGCTCGAACTCACGAAACTGTGAAATCATGATCTGGGCCGAAACCAAGAGTCAGACACTTAACCGACTGAGCCACCCAGGTGCCCCACCAGTTTCAAATCTTCTAATCACATCCAATTTTACTTTCAGAATTACTGTTTTTTTCCTGCACTTTTATCCATGTTGGCCAGTGTTTGCTCTCTGACATCCATTATTGTAAAAATTTCACCTGGGTCTGCCACCAGGAAACAAGAGACTGCATAGCTCCACACTGCACTGTCAGCATAAACTGAGTAACAGATGTGCAGTAACCGGTCATGGACATACTTTGAAGGAAGTGATGTGATTGGTCACGTATCCTGGTGCACGTCTGTTAGTTACATACTGATTTGCAGACTGAAGAGGTAGCACCAAAGCTTGCATAAAATTGCCTGAAGTTTATGCAACTGCTTACAGTTAATATTATAGTGAGTGGTCACTCAAATTTGAGCTGCATTGGTGGGAGGCTGGTATAATGTAGTTACAGACATATATACTTAAAGGTAGAATTCACACATTGCACAAAGTCAGGACTGTCTGTATGATAGGAATACACAAGGAACAGCAAGAGAAACAGGCCTAGAACAAGAGGAGAGTTGCACAGCATGGTTCAGAGATATAACTGAGGGCCAGATGATGTAGGGCTTTGTGGATCATTCAGAGTCCCTTGGATTTCATTCTGGGTAAGACAGAGAGCCACCAGAGGCCTAAGGCATAGGAGGGACATGATTTGACTTCTTTTTAAAAGGATTGCTCTGGCTACTGTGCTGGGAATCAGCTGCAAGGAAGCAGGAGTGGAAGCAGGGAGACCAAAGTGAGAGATAATGGAGCCGTAGACTGTCGCAGAGGCGTGGACCACTGTCGAGCTACTAAAATCTTAAAAAGAGTTCAGATTCTGTTTATATCCTGAAGGTACAGCTGACAGAATTTCATGACAGAAAGGGAGAAGTCCAGGGTAGCCAGGAGGTTTTGCCTGAGCAACTGCAAAGGAATTATTCTTTCTGAAGTAAGGAAGCATGTGGGAATGAGAAAAACATTTAAGAGTTTTAAATATTTTACTTTTGAGATCTCCAGGTGGTTAGACACAGCCAGGTGGAGATGTCAAGTGTATAGTTGGATAGAAACTTCTGAAGTACAAGAGCACCTGAGTGGCTCAGTTAGTTGAGCGTCCAACTTTGGCTCAGGTCATGATCTCGCAGTTTGTGAGTTCAAGTACCACGTTAGGCTCTGTGCTGACAGCTCAGCACAGAATCTGCTTCAGATTCAGTGTCTCTCTCTCTCTCTCTCTCTCTCTCCCCCTCCCTTACTCATGCTCCTTCTCTCTCTCTCTCTCAAAATAAAAAAACATTTAAAAATTTTTTTTAAATAAAGTAAAATTTGGAGGTACATACCATTCTAGAATTGAAGATAGAAGTCTATGCCAGTGATTAAGTTTTGGCAGATAAACGTTTTTAACACCTTGAGAATGGAAGAGATCCCGTCGACAGTGAGTACAGAGAACAGACATGGTACAGAGACCACGTGTTCAGACACGTCATCTTGGGAGATCAGAAAAATGAAAAACCGGAAAAGGAAACTGTATTCCTACTCCTTTACTATGTGATGTTCCCAGATGTGTTGGTGCCATAATTAGTCCTCCATTACTGAACACTTAAATTATTTCCATTCATCACTGTAATAAATGGTATAGTGAATCTTTATCATTGAGCCCCTTTGCAAACATTTCTCTGGAATATATTTCTGGAAGTAGCGTTACTGGGTCAAATTAAATGTGGAGTTTAAACTCTAATTTCCAATCACTCTGCCTATTTATATCCTCATGAAAAGTGTTCCCATTTTCTCCACATTGTTGCCAACATTAGATACTGAATTTTAGAAATTGAATACATTTGGGGTGCCTGGGTGGCTCAGTCCTTAACCATCCGACTTTGGCTCAGGTCATGATCTCACGGTTCGGTTCGTGGGTTCAAGCCCCTTGTCAGGCTCTGTGCTGACAGCTAGTTCAGAGCCTGGAACCTGTTTCAGATTCTGCGTCTCCCTCTCTCTCTGACCCTCCCCTGCTCATGCTGTCTCTCTCTCTCAGAAACAAATAAAACATTAAAAAAAAATTTGTTTTAAAAAGAAATTGAATTCATTATCTTTCATTGTTTTTCAAGTACTTGTTTTTTAAAAAAATTTTTTTTTTAATGTTTTATTTATTTCTAGGAGAGAGAGAGAGAGAGACAGCGTGAGCAGGGGAGGGTCAGAGAGAGAGGGAGCCACAGACTGAAACAGCCTCCAGGCTCTGAGCTGGCAGTCAGCACAGAGCCCGACGCGGGGCTCGAACCCACAAACCACAAGATCATGACCTGAGCGAAAGTCGGACACTTAACCGACTAAGCCACCCAGGCGCCCCTCAAGTACTTGTTTTTTAAGTAGCACTAGAGCTACTTTTAAAGCTCTAGTAGGAAGAAAATACAGTTCCTGAAGCATCTGTGAAGTACAAAAGTACATTCCTTGTAAGCAGCTGTATGTGCAGAAACTTAGGTGAGGAGGGGATATTTGCAGTTTTTCCTGGACTTAATATGGTTCCAAGGTAGGTTGTGGTGGTAGAGCCCCGCACATGCAGGCACCCAGATGGCCTTCCTTGGAGTGGGCAGTCTGTTTCTCTGGCACCTGAAAGAAGAGAGCATTTGGGCGGAGAAAATAGCTAGCTAAAACCAGAGCAGTCTCCCCACACTCCCACGCCCAAGTGAAAGGAATCTCATGTAAATTGCTGCTTTAGGAATAGCCCACCTCATTCACTGATGAGTAATAAGAGGATATTCATGTGAAGATAACTAAAAAAGGAGGAAAAGAGCAACAAAATATACTCATTTGTTCAGTAAGAACACACACCAGAAAAGTGGGACAGATGAAACTTATTTTAAAATTCTGACTGTGAATTTAAATTACTTAATGAAGTCAGCACCACTTCAGTGAAGGAAAACTCACAAAGATGAATGCAGACTAAATGACAGAACATAAAGGGATGACATGTGAAGGGACAGAACTCGGTAAAGATCTAGAAGAAACCACAGAATGAAGGTAAAATTACAATAGAAAACAGTGTAGACATAGAGGACAGATATGGAAAAAAGCACAGATTTTAAAAGAAATAAATAGAAAACGAACACCATACAAAATATACTATGATACAAGATCAAAGATGTACATGCCAACATCTCAGAAACCAGTATGTGACTTAAAAGTAAGGGTGCGTTAATATCATCATTATTCATTTTTAAGTGGTACACACAGCATTGGTGTATGATGACTGGCGGCTTAGATTCAGTGAGATACTGCAATAGAGTGCTGGTGTGTGGAGATAGTGGGGATTTGAGGGAGGGAGCAAGAGTTCTCAGTACATCTTTTGAAACGTGAATGTATTACTGGGGCATCTGGCTGGCTTGGTCACCAGAGCATGCGACTCTTAATCTTAGGGCTGTGAGTTCAAGCCCTACATTGGGCATAAAGCTCAAAAAAGAAAAAAATGTGAAATGTAAATATATTACCAATTCAAAGCCAAAAGATTAAGGGAGATAAAACTATTATAAAAAATCTAAAACAGATTTGGAAATAAACCTGAAAGCTGTTAAATTTAAAAATTGAATTTTAAAACAAATCACATAGTACTAATTCATCCTCAGACTCTCCCCCAGACCTATAGAAATCCTCCAGATACAGGCAGATCTATGAGATCTCTGTTGATCCCATTGTTTTCTAGGTTACATCCCTCCCTCCTAAAGCCCTGCTCCCACCTACTCCAGTCTGCACTGGTTGCTGAGTGGACTCGGTGCCCAGCTCTTCTCCCTTGTGTTTCCTTTGTCCTTCATGGTCTTAATTCCCTTCAGCTCATCCCTGGTGCCCAGATACTTCCTTTTTTCTTGGCTTACTTTCTGATTTGTTACAGCATCTCTTTTGCAGCAGAGAAACAGTACATAAGATGTCAGTTTTTGACCTTTGCATATCAGGAAATGTCCTCTTTCTGTCCTCACTTTTTTGTTTTTATTTGTAGCAAGAATTACTATCAAACTCCACTCACTGGGCCAGAGACCCTGTGGTGTTAGCGAAAGACTTGCCCCTCACGTGGCACACTGCCCACACTTGTGAGTTCATCGGCCAGCCAGTGGCGTCAACTCCAAGCTCTAACGGTGTGCAGGGCCCTCACTCTTAAGTCTAAGTCTACTTTCTCTCTGTTGTTGAGAGTAGGTAAATTATATTGATCTGTCCTCAGCCCCACTGATTTCTGTCTCTACTTTGCTACTCAGAGCATCCAGTGAGTGTGTTTGGTGAGTTATTGTTTCTCACTTCTATAATTTACATTTGGTTCTTTTTATAACTTTGATTTCTTTGTTGGGTTTTTTCTGTTTTTTCATCCTTTAAATTTGTTTTTTGTCTTTTGAATTTGTCATTGCTTGTTGTGATTTTCCTGGCTCTTGGTTAGATGGTGAGACGAGTGTTTTCTGTTTGGACCTAGACCTTTATGGTCTTAGAAGACCCTGGAGTTTATTTCTAGCTTAATGTTTCGGCAGCCCTCCTCCCACACACCGCAGCTGGGGAAGGGAAAGCATTGCCTTCTTACTGCCAAGTGGACAGTTGAAGGCCAGGTTCCCTGCTTGACCTCTTTTGACACCACTTCAGTGGTGAGATGACGGAGAGAGAATCGTGCTGCCTCATTACAGCCTGGCAAGTGTGGAAGTCTGGGTTCTCCACAGCCTTTGCCAGAGATCGTGGGAATTGGGGCCAAAATTGTTTCTTGGTGTTTCACTGGGAGAGCAGTTATTGACTAGAAGTTTCCCATCTTGCTCAGCTGCTCCTGCCTTGGTTCTCTGAGCACACTTTTCTTGGGACTTTTGTCTGTGCCCTTTGACATTTCTGTATTGGGGCTCTCCGGGACCCAGTCTGGAGCACAGTCAGAAAGGAAACCCAGGGACCTCACTGTTGTGTCATTCCTTTGGTCCTGAGGGCCCTAGCCAGTCTGTCTTCATCTTTCAGTAGCCATTTTGTTTTATATGTAATCCTCATGATTTTCAGCTATACTTATTATCAGGAAGAATACGAAAAAGTATGTCTAGGAGGTCTTTCCATAAACAGAATTCCTACATACACTCTTAAATAATACAGTGGCTGGGAGAAGTTTAAATTGAAAATCTCTTTTCTTTGTCGGTGATATCTTCAACTTTATCTTAAAGAATTCTTTTTTGAAGTTCTTAATATGAAAACCTGTAAATATAGAACAAAATAGAGAACACAGTATTATTCAGCTAGATTTAACTGGTTTAATACTTTGCCATATACTCCCTTTTTCGGTGCAATCAAAGTACAGAATTTCACGTTTAAATAATTTCCTGTGGGGTGCCTTGACTTGCTCAGTTAGTAGAGCATGTGACTCTTGATCTCAGGGTCACGAGTTCAAGCCCCACTTTGGGGGTGGAGCCTACCTAAAATAAAAATTTTGTGGGGTGCCTGAGTGGCTCAGTCAGTTAGGCATCTGGCTTCGGCAGAGGTCATGATCTCAAAGTTCTTGGGTTCGAGCCCCACGTCGGGTTCTGTGCTGACAGCTCAGAGCCTGGAGCCTGCTTCAGATTCTGTGTCTCCCTCTCTCTCTGTCCCTCCCCTGCTTGCTCTCTGTCTCTCTCTCTCAAATAAATAAATAATAATTGTTTTTAAAATTTTGTTTGATATATTTAAATATTTATGCATTTTGACAGTTTAATTATGATTATGTCTAGGTATGGGTTTTTTCAGTTTTTCCTACTTGTGTTGGTTGAACTTTTAGATAGATTGATGTTTTTCATCAAATTTGGGGAGTCTTTGGCACTATTTCTTCAGATACTCTTTCTGCCCCATTCTCTCCTTTGCTTCTGGGACTCCCATTATGTGTATATTGGTACAGTTATTGCTGTCCCAAAGATCTCTGAGGCTCTGTTTATTTTTCCTCCTGTGTACCCTCCCCCTTTTTAAGGTTTCTTTTAATGTTTGTTTATTTTTGAGAGAGAAACAGAGCATGAGCAGGGGAGGGCAGAGGGAGACACAGAATCTGAAGCAGGCTCCAGGCTCTGAGCTGTCAGCACAGAGCATGACATGGGGCTCGAACTCATGAACTGCAAGATCATGACCTGAGCCAAAGTGGGACACTTAACCGACTGAGCCACCCAGGTGCCCCCGTGCCTCGCCTCTCTTTATAGTTTATCAGACTGGATAATCTCAATTGACCTATGATTGAGCTTATTGATTCTTTCCTGTGCCTGCTAAAATACACTTTTTTTCCAACTGCTGTATTTTCTTTTCTTTTTTTTTAAGTAATCTCTTTGCCCAACATGGGGCTCAAACTCATGACCCTGAGATCAAGAGTTGCATGCTCTACCAACTGAGGCAACCGACTGAGTTTTTTGCCTATGGAAATCCAATCCATCCAACTCTTGATTTCAGCTCAGGTGGTGATCTCATGGTTTTTGGTTTCAAGCTCCACATCAGGCTCTGTGCTGACAATGCGGAGCCTGCTTGACATTTTCTCTTTCCCTCTCTCTCTGCCCCTCCCCCATGCGCACTCTCTGTCTCTGTCTCTCTCAAAAATAAATAAATAAATGGAATTTCAAATTAAATATATACTATATATATGTAATATGTATTTTTTTTCATACAGTAACCTAATGATGCTGGCTTATTTTCACCCAATGTAGTACTTTTAGGCTCCATCCAAATTGTAGCATCTATCAGTAGTTTCTTCTTTTTAGGGTGAATAATGTTCCATCTTATGGATATACCAGAATTTGTTTACCCATTTGCTTATTGAAGTTCGCTGGGGTTGTTCATGGTTTGGGGTTGTTAGAAATAAAGCTCCTATGAACACTCATGTGCAACTTTCTTGGTAGACATATATTCTTATTTCTCTGGGATAAAAATCCCAAGAGTACAGTTGCTAAGTTACGTGGTCCATATATTTTTCATTTTATAAGGAACTTCCAAACTGTTTTTGCAGGATGGCTATACCATTTCAAATTCCCACCTGCAACATGTGAGATCCTTTTATTCTAAAACCTTGCTTAACACCATTATTAGTGCTAGGTTTTTGGTAGATCAAGTTGATCCACATCCTTTCCTGTGCTTGCTATTAGGAAGTTTTTATGTTTTATTTTCACCATTCTGATTGGGGTATGGTGGGATATCATCAGGGCTTCAGTTCACAGAACTCTAGTGGCTGATGGTATTGATCATCTTTTCATGCACCTGTTTGCCTCCTGGATATTTTCTCTAGTGAAGTGTCTGTTCATTATTCATGCTTTTTGCCCATTTTCTGTTGAAACTGTATGTTTTCCTAGTATTGAGTTTATAGAGTTCTTTATACATGGTGAATATAATTCTTTCATCGTAGATAATGTGTTTGGTTTGTTTGTCTTAACCATTTTTGAGTGTACGTTCCATTGGTGTTAAACATATTCTCACTCTTGTGCAGCCCTCTCCAGATCTGTGCAGAACTGCAACTCAGTGCCCGTTACCCAGCCACTCCCAATTTCTCTCCTCCCAGCCCTGGGGGCCACTCTTCTGCTTTCCTTTTTTCAGTGAGTTTGACTACTCTGCATACCTCATATAAGTGGAATCCACGTAATGTGTTTCACAAATATTTTTGTTCAGTCTGTGCCTTGTCTTTTCAACCTCTTGAAATAGTCTTTAGCAAAGCAGAAGTCTTTAAAATTTTTCAGCTAAAGTCTTTACTTTGATAAAACCCAATATCATTTTTTTCTTTGGCGTGTTTTTGTATGTCTAAGAACTCTTGACCTAATCCTTGGAGGGGGGGGGGGACGGGGCTGTATTTTTCATAAAACTTTTATAGTTTTACATTTTAAACTCAGATTTATGATCCATATGGATTTATTTTTGTATATGGTGTGAGGTTTGGTTTGGTGTTGAATTTTTTGCCTATGGAAATCCAATTGTTTTTGGCCTTGAACTTGAAGGGTACTTTTCATACCTTGAAAAAGTGTTGCTCTTCATATCCTGAATTTTAAGCATGAGTACTATAAGTGGGTAAACCTTTACAGTTATTAAATGAAATATTTTACTGGGACACCTGGTTGCTCTATTGGTAGAGCACGTGACTCTCAATCCTGAGTTCGAGCCCCATGTTAGGTGTAGAGATTAGTTAAAAATAAAATCTTTAAAAATATATTTTTTACTTTAAAAAACAATGTTTAAGAAGAATTGTAATGACATGAGTAACTACTTTTGATAAAACTGAAAAAATAAGAGAGACAATTTTATTTTTTATTTTTAAAATTTTTTAACATTTATTTTTTGGAAGAGAAACAGAGTGTGAGCAGGGGAGGGGCAGAGAGAGAGAGGGAGACACAGAATCTGAAGCAGGCTTCAGGCTCCAAGCTGGCAGCACAGAGTCCAACACAGGGCTTGAACTCACCGACCTCAAGATCATGACCTGAGCCAAAGTCGGACAGAACCACCGACAGAACCACCCAGGTGCCCTAGATGTACAGAGTTAAACATTAAATATATAGCGACTTTAGATGCCTAAGTATTCTGGTAAAATAAGCTGGAAAGTTATAAGAGTGACGCCTATGGGTAAGGGGCAGGGTGTGTGAAGTGGAGGAAAATCATCTTTGATTTGCATTCTTTTGAATCATTACCATGTGTGTGAGTTTCCTCTTCTATAAGAAATAGGTATACAAGAAACTACATACAAAGTGAGTATGATTGTGTTTTAAAAAAAGAAAAGACTTCGTAAGGCAACATACACATTAAAGAACTGAGGGAGAAAAAAGACACTAATGTAGTAAAAGTTCGTTGACTTTTGATGATGTGACTTTAAGTGATTTCTTTAAAATGCCATTTTCTAAGTTAAGTTTATCACTGCTTATAACATTTGGTAGGGGTGGGGCCAGTAGGGGATATTTTTAAAGCTTGAATTTTCTTTAAAACTTATCTTAAAGCTCAATGTCTAGAATCAAGCTAATAGAGCCTAAGTTGTCCTGCGCATTGTACAAAAAAAACTCAACAAACACCCATCCTCTGAGATGTTTGCTACATTATCTTCATTTTCGTGTTTCAGAGCCAAGCCTAAGTCAGAAATCCACGTGTCAATGGCCACTCCAGTCACTGTGTCCATGGAGACCGTGTCCAGTCAAAGCAGTGATCAGCCCACCAT